TTAATAAATTTTCCCCCAGGGTCAGTTATTCTCCACCTTTAACTATTAATTAAATTTTTTCTCTTATTATTTAAGTATTTTACTTCTTCTTTATTTTTATTGCTATGTATGTATTTCTTTAGTGTCATTGTGCGGAAGGCAAACGCAACGTCAATTACAACACAATGAACAATTACAAAGACGTCTTATTTAGTCATTGTTTCGTCAGAGACTCGGTTCGAGCGAATTGCTGGAACTACAAGGGACAGCGAGATGGGGGAAACAGCTGATAGGGCTTATCATAGGTATTTATCCTACTACAGTTTCTTTTTTGTTAGGTCTTATAACGTTTCAGACTACCCTCTGCGTGAATCGGGGCATAGCCACCGTTTGGCAAATAAAATTACCCCACCGAGCCGGATTCGTTATTAGATATTTTTTTAATTTTTATAGGCTTTTTTATTTATTTTATTTTATTTAGCTTAAGTTCTCTACTGTATTGACTTTTTTTATTTGTTTGTCGTTGAATTAAATAAATTAAAATAAATCCCACTCTAGTAAAACTACTACTGATAAACTTGGAAGATACAAAGACTTTGAAGCTTATTTAGTGTTCATTAGACGCCGCATTAAAATATTCGGCAAGTCTTTTTTGAGCTATGTCTATTGTGTGCAATTGTCACTAGTGCGAAAATCTTGATGCAGGAAATTTGGTTGCAAAATTGCGCTTGGGATGACCAAACACCTAACCATCTACTTCATGACTTGGAAGTGACTGATGTCGTTCCAAACTCAATTTTAGAACTATTCAAAAAGTCAATGTCGTATTAAAAAATTACCGTGTCGTTTCGTATATGTTTGATTTGTTAACTGTCGATCAAGTTATTCATCACTTGTGCCTGTTGTGGTAGGTGTACATGCAATACAACACGGAGCTTTTGCAGACGAGGTCTCAAAGCTAGAACCTTCATAGTAATAACTGAATCCATTTCTTCGTCCGTATCAGGAAGGGAAACACGCGTTTAGGTTGGTGCGAGTTGCCGGTCGGATGCTTAAGGCACCTTGTCTCATAATGCTATATTTCCTCTACTCTTTCCAAAAGGATGCCGTTTTGGAAATTTATATGTACAAGTATATGTAATATTTGCATTCAATTGTCAAGCTGAACCGAGCGCCAACAAATTTGGTTGATAAACGCGCGGCAGGCTTGCAGCGCAGTAATGCGACAGTGTGTGCATAATACGTTGCGTTGTTTATTTGTTTCATGTCCAAGACTGTCCAAATTGTCACTGATTTGAGTACGAATTCGATTCTATTTGATTCATCCAGATTAGTTGGTTGCCGTGGACCTGTCAAGCGCATCCATTGCGACAGTGACACAATTTTTGTGGATGCAGCTTGTAAGCTCGGGGAGTTTAGCCAGCATTGTGGTATTCTTCGAGAGCATCGGCTGTAAAGTCGGCAACAACGTTGTTGCTGAAGGCAATAGGCCACGCGCTTCTACGACAAGATGAGCTAACAACAGTTCTGGCGGAGGTAGAGACAGTGCTCAACTTGCGTCCTGTCGTCGTGGGGAGTGCAAATCGCAATGATGGGGAGGCCAGCTCACCAGTGTATCTGATCGTCGGAGCAACGCTCGTAGTGCTGCCATTTGAATCAATGCAGCTCGTGGCAGACATCAGGCTAAAGTACTTGCAACGTTGGCAGCTCATCTCTGCCATTAGCCGCTGATTGTGGGCAGATTGGTCGAAGGATGAGCCTGCAATAGCGTGAGAAGGGGTCCAGAGACCGAAGCAATCTGGAGGAGCAATTTATCGTTTTCTGGAGGAACAGTATCTGCAACCGATGAGGTCTGGTTGGCCATAAGACAAATGAATGCAAAAATTCCCGAATTGCTGGTTATTCAAAGATAAGGACTTTAAACGGTAGACCACATTCCTGCCACTGGAAAACGTGCGGTAGTAAAAGTTCGGACAGGGCACGAATAGCAGAATTTCAGAAGAAGCTAGACTCGATTGAAGATCAGGACATGCAGCTATGCAGTGAAAAATCGTAGAGTCGCTATTCCCAGACGGAGAGTAACGAAGTTATTCAGAAATGGTAGATAGAGTGTACACCCCACTTTACACGCCGCCGCATCCTCTTTGAAGAAAAAGAAAGCCACTGGTCCCGATGGTGTCTCAAGAAGGCCACTTGACCAGGACGATTGGGGCCATAACCGTGCAAAAAACACAAGGATAATTTCATCATTCCAGGGGCATAATCGTTTTAATAACCTGACGTAAGAAATGTTTTTATTGGAAAGAAGATTTCATGTACTGGTGTCCATGGCACAAATTAAGCGCAGCTACTTGAGTGTACAGGAGTGTGGCTAATATTCCATCGATTAAAAATGGCTGTCGAAAAGACGGAAATAATTCTCCTGACAAGTCGACAGAGAATTAGTTGGGTATTGGGTTCAGCCCTTGATTGACATTCTAGAAAACAATCAAATACACAGAAAAACGTCAAGGATTACAGCATGTTTTAGGAAACTAATGGCATGCGTGAAAAGAAGATTAATATGGATAAGCAAGTAAACAAATGTCCCACCCATGGATAAAGCTGTAGCGAGACAGCAGTTAATGCAGCAGTGGCAAACTCGATCGACCTAAGAGACCATAGTGAGACGGATAGCTAGGCTAATTCCCGAGCTCTTGGTATAACAGAAAGATTGGAGATAAACTACTACATACATGCGCAAATATTGTCTGGCTACGGATACTTCAAGTACCTAAATAAAATGGGAAAGTGCAACGATGCTTCTTTCATTTACTCAAACATATAATTCGTTTCGGTGCGGAGTAACCAGAGGCTGGCCAGCGAAGACCAAGCATCGACGATGAGGTTCCGATACGACAGCACCACTTGTCGAACGCAGGAAAAAAATTTGCAGTAAACGCTACGACGGGTCAAAAACTGTGAATGCATTCGTGTCACCGGCCATCGTGCGTTTTCAACAAGAACCGAAAGGCACAGGCAGACCGGGACACGTGCGAGAGAAAACCACGAAAGCCGAGGCACAACAGCGTCGGGAAACCTTACAATGGAAAGTAAAGTGTACTGTCACACGTGGCCAATAGCTCCAGCCCCAAAACTAGAGGTTGGTTTTGAAAATCAACTACGAGACTGTAGAAACTGAAGGCGGTTTTGATTGATGATAAAAGGTTGTGTTCCATCTCTAAACAAACGCTGACGGTATCTTTTATTTATTTTTGGGGTCTCAAAAACTAACAAATTAACAGTATACCATACAGTCTGCCCGACAAGCATACACGGTCCAGAGCATCATTCTGAAGCGATTTTCCTACTTTTTTTAAATTTCTACAATCGTTATTGGGGACCCTGATCTTAGCTTCCCCACTTGTCTAGCTCTCTTCCCCTCAATAACAGCTTTTTATACTCTGTACATGAAATGTACAAGAGTATATTAGATTTGCGGGAGGTGAAAAATTTAACAGCCAGAAGGAGGCATGGCCGACCCCACAAAGTATATAAATTCTTGATCAGCATGGCAAGACGAGTCCATCTAGCCCTGTCTGTCTGTCCGTATGAACACCTGGATCTCAGAGACTATAAAATCTATATATTTATATATATATATATATATATATATATATATATATATATATATATATATATATATATATATATATATATATATATATATATATATATATTTATATAAATAGATCATATATTTTTTTTCATTTCTTCATATTTTAATTTTTATTATTATTCTACTCAGAGTATTTCGAAGTCGAGACACCCGAGTTTAGCTTCTCCACTTGTTTTTCTTTTAAAGGGTTTTATATGACAAAAATAGTGTACATATATTGGGAGCTTCTTCAACTGCGCCTAGATATGCACTGTTAGTATATCAGTGCAATGACTTCTTATGATAAAGTTTAATCCATGGTGACATGACATAAAGTCCGAGGACCTGCCGCCTAGAATGATTTATTCTTTATGACCGAAATAGTTCGAGCTTTATGACCGCCAAAGTTACTTTTGCTATTAACGCCATGACCAAAATTATTTGCACTGAAAAATAAGTTGGCAAAAGTAATTTTTCTGTTGATTTATTGGTATATCAATACAATAATATTTATAATTAAATTATTATCATTAATAAATTAATAATAATAATTTTAATGTGTGGGATTAACGAGAAATATAAAGTTAACTTTAATTTTTAGGTTCGGTTTCGACTTCATCTTAACGAAGAAATTTATTTATATTAATCATAAATAATATGAATTTCCTGTTTCCAGTTTTGTTATAAAGTACATCTATCATTTGCGACCAGCCAAAAAAGAGACAATTAGGGGTGCCACAGAAATCTCTTCCGCCCGAGTTTTGCCTCAAAACCAATTGCTGTTGCTCACAGGTGGCTTGGAGGAGGTTCGAAAAAATGAAATCTTTCGAAGTTTTGTGGCCAAGATGGATGTTTTCAGAGATTTGAAAGACACCAGTAGCCGACATCTTTAGAGTTTTCTTTGGTACCCTTGAATGCTTCAAAGATTTTTGCAGAATTTTCGAAAACGTCACCGAAACATAATAAACAATCCTCAACAACACGGACTGACGAACATCGATTCGTCATGTTATGTATGTATACATAATTTGGTGGGTCTACCAAGGTTCCTTCTTATGTATGTATGTATGTATATACATTCGCACAAAAGTAATATACACCTTGGGTCCTGGAAATAAAATGGATTACCAATTGATAAGAGTGGTATGTGCGGAAATACCAAACAAAATGATTCATTTTATGTTTCACAAAAATGTCTAAAAAATTTAAAAATGAATATAACAAATTATAAAAAAATGCGTTTTATATTGGCTGTATTTCTTAACATTTCTTTCTTCTTCTAAATTGAAGGAAGTATTTATTTATTTGTGTAGTATTAATTGATTAATAATCAATGTCGTTGGTCGTAATTTATGTATTCTGCAGTTATCGATAGTTCACAAAATCAACGATAGTTGCAGAAAAATTAAACTATCGAGACAATTGTGCCACAAATGATGTGACATCTATTTTTACCGCTAAATCGTAAACTTCATTGCATTGATTATCAAATTATGGACAACGTTAGTATATTCTGTAATGTGAATTTTAGAGTCGGAAAACTAATATAATATTTAATTTAAATAGGAATTAAAAAGCAAAGTAGAGGCTTGTAGCCGGACTGCAGAAGATTTCACCAGAATTTATTATGCGTCTTTTGATAACCGACGTCAAGTGAGTTAGTTATTCAAAACTAATTGGATGATTCCATTTACCGATATTTTTTTAGCATATGGGTCGTCTTTATATTGACAATGCAATTTTCAGTTGGAACGGCAATGGCGCCAATGGTAGGGATATGATTGAACGTTACTTCTCGGAGCTCCCATCATCATCGCACCAATTGTCTACCTTGGATGCCCAGCCAATTCTTGATGCGGCTGTTTCTAATCAGTTAACCTATTTAATACTTGCGAGCGGTACAGTCAAATATGCCGAACAACCTATGCGCTGGTTCCAACAATCTTTTATCATAACAGCTGAAAACGAGAAATGGAAAATCGCCTCCGATTGCTACCGCTTACAGGAATGCATGCTGTAAAAGTTTTCGCTTTGTTACATATAATAAATAGAATTGGGAAATAAAATTTTTGGTTTGTGCGCAGTGTAAGGGGATATAATGGAATCGTCGTTTTTACAAGTAGGAGCCGTTGTTGGTCCTACAAAGTTAATAAATGTATGTTTTTTTGTGACCACGAGACGAGTTTTCCATTTCCATATGCACGCAAGGGCACATTACTATTATGTATACGACGAATTAATCTGACTCCAATTAAAAACAAAGATGGAACATATGTTAAGAATGAACAAAGATGCCGAAAAAGCCACATCCTAAACAGCATAAATCGTTAATATTTAGCAAATTTTTCTTGACACAATCTGGCTGCTAAAATAATAAATACATACTATATTCTTTATTTCTCTAAAACTAAAATGATATACAAAAACAAGGTATATAATATTGAATAAAGTTGGGTTATTGGTTATTGTCTGACACAGTTTTTATTTTTTTAGCTTGTGGCGTATTATCCTCCGTTAATGTCGGTAGTGTTTCAGAAAATATGGTTGTCGGTTGAGTATTTTTGTAGGCAGGGGCTATCCAATATGGGTTCTCCGCTGCGTCCCTTGCGTACTTAAGTATGGCTTCGCGTGGGTCTTGGTCGTCGTCAACGCGTTTGCTTAGACCCAAGTTACGAATGACATACGACGACAATGTGCCCCCTGAACTTGCCACACGGCCACCTTGTCCGGTTGTGATTGGTAAATCAGGTCTTTTTGACTTAACCGGGTCCATACGAGCTTTTTCCATCTTTTTGCGTGACGATCGTGACTTTTCTTGTCGGAATAGGGGCAACGCATGTGGAGTTATGATTTGGGAAACCCCTACCATTTCTGTCTGCTGTCGCTTCCGATGAGTCTTAACAGCGCAGAGTTTAGCGCCACGTACACTGCGAAGCTCGTCATAGTAACACTTAATAACTCCATTGCCGCAGCTTACGAAGAGCTGATTTAATTTGGGATGCCATAAGGTTTTGATTACATGGGAATCGGAAACGGGTATTCGGTGTACTTCTTCAAAGGTTTGCGTGTTATAGAAATAAAGATTCGCCTCTTTTCTTGTTTTATGAAGAGATTCGCCGGTGACGATTATACTATCATCTGGACTAAAACAGCAATCAGTAGTATCATATCGTGAATAAAGGTCGTACCAAGTATGTAGCGGCTGCTTGAAGTTGCGCAAGTCCCATAGTTTCATCGTTTCGTCAGTGGAACGTGTGGCCAACTGTCGACCTGTCAATGATGATATTGCGGCTTAATTGGAGACATAACAGAACAGGAACTTACCCATATAGGAAAACGTAATAGACGTTATGTCACTGCCTTTTTGATGTGCACCCCGTACGCAATGTGTTGTGCTCACAAACATCTTGCGCGTATCCCATGTTTGTATAGAACCATCAACACAACCAGCCGCTATCAGCGTAGCATCCCTGTTATAGTTACAAGCTGAGGCACTTGTTTTTAGTCCACCGCGTGCCCGTGTCTTTACGACTTGGTGCTGTTCCTTAACTTTCAAACCATGCCAAATGCGTAATGTGCCATCTAGAGCGGATGTAAGAAACTGTTCACGATTAAAAGGATGCCAACAGCCGGAAGTAAGCTGTGCCACATGGCCTTTAGTACGAGACATATCGCTAATGTATTGATCTCCCTTCAAGCATTCGAGTTTTTCAAATCCGTCACGATCGAGCACTTTTGCCTGTGCATTCCCTGATATTACTAGTACCATATCCCCAGTCACAGAGTATTGCAGCGCACGTATTGGATGGTTCTCACATGGCTGCAGCTGACGAAAGCTTCGCATGCCCGAGTCCATACCGGCAAAATCCCAAAAACACATATCGTAGTCTATGGAACCAGACACAATACGTGCGCCGGACGGATCGCAGGCCAATGCCAACACGGCACGTGAGCCGTGACGCATTTGAGCCTCGTGGGTATATGGTATACGACGTGCAAAATTGGACTCGTCGTCAGAATCATCAGAGGCAGTGTCCCCATATTCGTCAATTGCTTCACCCCTGGAAGTGTCCAATGATCCTGTGTTTGGAAGTGCATCAATTACGATTTGTTTTTCTTCACTGCTTGGTTTCAACAGCTCCGTTGGTGACGCTTTTTTAATTTCAACTTTGGTTATTTGGGGTGATATGTGCGATGAGTTACTTGGCCCCCTTACATTTTGTTTGTTGTCATGAATTTCTTGCATCATCATTTGTTCTCTGGTCATTTTCTTGAATCCGCCACCTTCTATGGAATTAGATGCAATTGTTGTAAGTTCATCGGACAGGCTAAGGTTAATTTTTCCAAATGCAATCTTCCCCCGCTGCATTTCAAGGAAGGTATTAATAATTATAATAAAGGAAAATTAGTGATGTAAGTAAACATTGATTCTGACAAAGTCGATTTATTTCGATTTTTCAATAGTTTTTTTCATTGATGTCCATTGATCAATTTCTACAATATACTTGTATTAAGCATTTGTCTTCTGAACATACCTAAAACATATCAAACCTCTGCCAAGAAGATCACAAGTTGTACAAAATAATTAATTTGACATTTCAGGTACATACTAAGTGTAAACTCTTTGATTATAATGTTACAGTTATTGTTTTCGATAAAAAAAATGACGATGGCCCTTTCGAGAGGTACGGTAATCGTTAAAAGTTTAACAAATTATGAAATAATAATTCGTTTTTAAATGTATTCATTCTCTTATAATTTTATGACCTTACTTATAAGCTATACTTTACAACTCAACCAAAACTATACTCAACCAATAATCATTATTTATGAGCAGAAAAAAACCGGATAAAATTAGGGTTATTCCTTAAACTTTTATTTTTGCTCATACAAAGTAATCATTTTAATCATTTAATTTTGTCGTTTTCGTAGAAAATAACGATAAATTTTCAACAATTCGCGAGAACGAACTTCTATAGTCCTTTCACAAAAAAAGGTTTCATTTGTAATCAATCCATTATCCTTCTGCAATGCAAAATTATCAGGGACCGCAAGTAAGTTTTGGGAAAACAAGGATTATTCCAATATCCAATGATTTATAAATTTTAATTTTTATTCGTTCTCTTAAAATAAATTGATTAGTTTTCAATAATATTTTGCCAACCAAAATAAAACTAATAATCATTATTTTAAAATAAAACATACTTGCACAGCGTACACCTATGTATATCTCGGAGACTATAAGACCTAGAGGCACCAAATTTACGCCTTATGTGAATACGCAGAAAATGTGTATTTAGGAGTTTCCCTCCCTCCCCCCTCTCCTTCGCAATGATTTTCCAATCTCCAGTATTTCAAACTTTGGACGCCAAAATGTGGGATTTTGATAAGAAGAAGCTGCAGGGTCGTCAAGTGACTCAGATAGGTGCAGTACCGTTGCGGACGATTAAGTAGTTCGGAAGCAGGTAAAGAACCCAGTGAAAAAACACACAGTGCCCGCTTGACTTAAGCGGAGGTAGGAAGTGAACGCCACCTGTGGTACATCCCAGAAAAGAATACAGCGGAAACGGATGAAATAAAGGCCACTGGTTATAACAGGCTGGAGTGTATGGCCTCTAAGCATTGCCTGATATTTGTTACGCCTGCTAGTTACTTAGCCATTCCAATGAAAGTTCGCTGAAGGGATCCTAATCCCTAAGCTTGGGAAGCCGGATCATCAACTATCATCATATCGACACATCAGGTTATTGCCGGAAATGACAATACTTGAACACAAGAATCTGATCTCCGACCACCAGTTTGTCTTCAGTAGCAAAGCATGGAACACCGGAGCAGTGTCACGGGCTAGTGTACCAAATTGTACAAGGGTATGAAAATAAAACAGTCTTTTTGGACATCAAATAGGCATTCGATCGAGTTTGGCATAAAGCGCTCCTCTTCCAGTTAAAGATGATGCTTTCCACACAATACTTCAAATTTGTCCTACCTGGACCATAGATCCTTCTATGTGAGAGTAGGTGAGGATGAAGTTACACAGTAATAAATACACTTTACACTATAGCAGACATACCAGTGCTGGACGAGCCAGAAATTATAGCTGCAACCTACACCAATGACACAGCTTTTTTGGCAATGTTCGTTTCAGCATGCGAAGCATTGGCATTAGTCCAGAGGCTAGAACAGAGGCTAGAACAATTTATCTTTTTGGTACATTTTTGTCCTTTATTTAAGATGTATCTTAAGTTGGACAATTATTAAATCCTATGATAACCTTGACATTTTTTCAATCATGCTTCTGCCATGATCATTGCGGTGTGCGTACGCACATTGCCATAGCTATGCCAGACCTCAAAACAACAATTGAAAACAAGAAAAGAATGCTAAAGTCGAGCAAGCTCAACTCTTAAATACCCTGTAGCTCCCACCAAAAAGGAAAAAATGAAAAACAATTTTTTTTAAATAATAAAAAAAAGTATATATTTATTAATTTATTTAATTAAATTAAAGACATGTTCATGTACAGTTTAAACAGCATACATTTACATCATAATAGTGTCTCTGCGTGTGTATATGCCTGTATGTATGCAGCACAAAGTTGAACCCAAGCAGCAACAACAACAACAGCTGCCGGCAGAGCTGCAGGCAGCGCATGAGCAGCGATTTTATTTATGGCTATAACTTTCTTCAGAATTGACCTATCATGACGCTACCAAATTTTAGTTCGAAATTCCAAGAACTACGGGAGTTATGAAAAAAAACACTAATTGCGGGGGAGTGGGGGGGTGTATCAGAATAAAAAAATAGACTTGACGTGCCTGGGGCTTATGGGAATCTGGATACCGAGTTTGGTTATTTTAGCTCTTGTACCTTCTGAGATCCTTGCGCTCATACAGACGGACAGACGGACGGACATGGCTATATCGACTCGACTTGTCACCCTGATCAAGAATATATATACTTTGTGGGGTCTGCCACGCCTCCTTCTGTGTGTTACATACATTCGCACAAAACTAGTATAGCCTTTCACCCTTTGGGTACAGGCTATAAAAATTAAGGCGTATTAAATATCCAATATTTACGTTAAGTTTATGTAGTTAAGTTTTTATGTAAGTAACTTATTTCCAGTTGCACACAATAACACAGTCTTTCTGTGAATTGGCAAACCGTGATGCCTGAGCTAGAGGGTTGGTAATATGGTCCACTCCCAAACTCAGCCCACATTTAAGGGCAGTAACATAGAGATCGGCGTTGTGAATGATCGCTCGGAGAGGATCAGTCGTAGCTTTTCACGTTTACATAAGATGGCATATTATTTTGAAACTAACAGCATGATAAAGACAAAACTGATAAAACGGACATTCGTCAGGAATTTGGTGTTCCTTACATCATAGGTGAAATAGCTAGGCTCAGCACCAGGTATACAAAAGCGCCTCTCTGTGCACCCAAACACCATGACCATAAATATCCTTGACAATAGTAAAACCAGTCTGCCCAAAACCGCTGCTTGATGCTTAAGATCAGCTGCCAGCGTTGCAAGTAGGTCAGCGTGTTGTCTCTCGCGAGTTGCCCTGACCCGATTGTCAGCGGCACGAGCGTTCCGCTTACGAGCAGGTGAGCTGAAGTGACCGCCTCGCCGTCGTTGGGATTCGATCCGCCCACCACGAATGGCCACGAATTGATGATGGCCTCCACTTCTCCATCTCGGTCGCCAGCTCGTCCTGCAGCACCTTGGTGCCTTCAGAAGTTGGACTCCTTCCGATTTTACGGCCGCGTAGCATAGGCCGCCGAAATGCTACCCTCTAGGGGGAATAAACTTAAACGTTAATCCCTTGGTGGCTGATGAAACTGGCCCGGAACTCCTCCAGCAAGCGCGCTGCACCCACAAAGTTGGTGGTATTGTCGCAGTAAATTTGTTTGACTGCTCCACGGCGACCACCAAAAAACCTGGATAGACACATTATAAAAGAATTAGCAGTCAAGTCGGAAAATATATCAATGTGCACAAATTCAGACATAAAACAAACAAAGACGGCAACGTACATCTTAACTGGAGCTCTGCCACGCACTCCCAGCGTGACAGGAATACGACCACAAAAGTCCACTCCGCTGACTTCGAGCGTCCTACATCCTACATGTAGCCGATCAGCGGGTAAATTTCCGATTTTTTGGCTGGCTACCGACTTGTATAGAAAAAAATGCACACACTGCCAAACCACTGCGTTGCAGGTATGCCTGGCGAAGAATAGCCAAGAGCGCACGAGAGCCTGTATGGCAATTGGTAAGATGCAAATACCGCAAATACAATTGAACAAATCGCAATCTTTTTGGCATAGGCAATGGGAATTTCGCAATCTATTTGGCATAAGCAATGGGAATTTCGCATTGTGGGGTAACGGCGCTTTGAGTGAATGGCCTCCAACTCGCAGCAACATCAAAGTTCGCTTTCCATTCTGATAAGGACTCAGAAATGAATTAAGATTCTGTTACGATGGTTGCAGGACCACCGACTTGTCTAATTTGGCTATTTCGGCTGCGAAAGCAGTACGCTGAATTAAATGCACAATGGCCAAAAAGGCCTGTGTCCTGACCCCTTTTCGTTTACATGTACGACACTATGTGGAGAATTTTTAAATACGACGACAACCTTTCAATTAAATCAAAAATTGTATTAAAAGCAATGTCGGCCGCTATGAGCACCGTCGCATTCTTCCGCTTCTCCAGCACTGATTGATCCTTGGCCTAATGTGAAAATTAGTTGGCCAAAGGTTCTGGTCACTTTGTAAGAACTTTGAATTACCAACCACGCGAAACTAAGTCAGCTGGATTTTCTGCAGTACGTACATGGTGCCAAGAGGCGTCTGATATCAATTACTGTATGGTAGCATTGGCGAAAAATGTATTCAAATGTGACAAATGTGGCACTGACTTTGTCTTCAGAGGCGATACCGTCGTCGTCGTTGCAGTCAGCAAATTCACAATTACTGTGTGCTCTTGCTCAACTCTGAGGTATTTACCTCAGCCACAGCACCCATAAGCCCTTGTCGATGCGTCAGCAAATTGTGCCGTTGGTGACGCCGTCATACCGGGGAATGTGTATCACCTCAATCACAATTGTAGTGAATGAATGAAGTTGATAAGCTTGTAAGACAGAACTGTGTCTGACATGTTTTATTCAGTTCTCTTTATACAAAGTGTGTACTAACAATATTTGATTACTGTTAAGTGTGTGTAAGTAGATCAGCTATTGCTGACTAAATATTGCTGTGTAAGTGTAAGTGAGTATTGGAGTGGCATACGACCCTTAATTGTTCCTATTCTTCTCCGTATGCATCGATCTTCAATAAGTCCATTTCGCGCACTACTTTGATTGGTCTTTAAGTCAGTGCTATTGCTGCAAGAGCGTTGACACTTTTTACTGTGCCAGTGGGCCATAGGTATTGATGAACTGTGGCTATGCTACACAAAAAACGATCGCGCGATTGTCTGCAACTCTGACAGCAAATGGTCAGGAATTTGCTCTCCCCAAGCGGATTTTAGAAGCGAAATATTTTGGTGTTCGATATTGAATATTTAAAAGCGTCTTCACGCGGGCTCCAAATGAGCCCCAACGTCTGATGGCCTATCACCATTTCGTCAGAAGGCTTTAAATGTTTCACAATT